ATTAAACGCAGCGGAGAATAAAAGTCTCTTTTCAGTACGCAATAATTCGAGCTCTTTAAATATTTATGATCTCAATGTAATTTAATTAATAATATTGATTTTGTAAATTTTGAAAAATATTCTTTGCCTACGAAACACAAAAAAGAAGTAAAAAACAGATAAGAAGTGCGATAAAAATTTAGAAGAAATATCCAAAATTTGCAAAAGAAAAGAATATAATTTCTAATTGTATTATAAATATTTCAGTGGCTATATTTTAATGCAACTTTAGTAAATGCTAAAGCAATAATATTTATTAAATAACATGTAACATAACGTTACACTTAAATTGTGAATAGGAAATTGCAAGTATAAGCATAAAGATACCGACGAGATCTATTGTCGAGTAACTAAGTCTAGAATCCAGGGGATGCAGTTAATGGACAGATAGTCCGGAGTCTCGTACGCTGGTTAATTGTTGTCACTGGGACCGTAATTACGCAGTAATTCGCAGCGTGAATTGCGCAATTAAACAATCTCAAAGTAAACACAAAGGTGGACGGATTCGCGCGGCAGATCGGCTCTCTCCTCTTTGCTTCCGCGAGTAGCACCGTCACGTCGTTTCGATTGAGTGCTAATTAAATGCGCGCGTTGCACCGACTCGTTAAGGAAACATCGTTGATCATTCCAACAGGTTGTCTGTTTCGCTGAACATGCACCTTCTTACTGACTTTCAATAGAAATCGTCATCAATTGTGTTTTCAGTTAATATGTCAAAGAGTACGATTAAAGAAGATAATGATAATTAAATTTAAAGCAGTCGAAATTTAATGTAGGAAGAAAGTATGAGATATACTAAATCTCGAAGAATCTTATCTCTGTAATAATAAATCATCAAACTATTATTTTCTATTACATTAATTAAAGATAATAAAAAAAAAATAAATTTTAAATTATTTTACGGAGTTAATTTATAAAGTTGCTATTGAATCATTAGTTTATCTGAATCAAAACTATTATAATTAATTCTGCACAAAAAAAAACTTCTAATTTAGTAAAAAAAACGCATAATTATTAATTAATATCGACAAACGAACCATATAAAATCAATTGTTTTAAAAGTCCGTAACAAGTCGTTCTTTTTGCGTCGAAAGAAACGAAGGTACACGTTGAAGGAATCGATAACGAAAGCTTGCAAACAATTTTTCGAACATTCACGTATGCCGCTCGCGTGAATACCATCCGGCGTTTTATATCGATCCAGAGCCGGTGATATAACACCGGCTTCGATAAAATCGAAAGACCGCTTTCATAAGGCATCCATAGCCTCCTTCTCCACGGCCTGACCGCGCCTTATATCGGGCGACCGAGTTGGCGTGCCACCAAAACGCGGACAGCTTGATCATTGCGCGGGATGCTGGGAAAATAGTTCGAAGCGGAAACATTCGTGCTCCAAGTTCGACCATTCAAGTAATTTGGACATTAAGATAAATTCAAGCAAAAATAAAACTTTGCTCAATTAAAGTTCACTGCAAATAGTGAATTAATCGTTTCTGTTTGTTCACAATACGTTATTCAATTTTATTTCGCTACTTTACTTGAATGCAAAACATATCCCCCAAAAAAACCCCAAATTATATTTAAGGCCCGAGAGCTCGAAGCTCCGACTGTTCAGAAATTGTTCGATCGCCGGAAAATTCTGATCCACTTACCTTCCTCATTGCTATCGTCGTCCAGCAACCATATCTCCTCTTCGTCAAAGTGAGCGTCCCCGCCGCGATCTTTGCCCGGGAAGAACGCGTGCGCCAGGATCTGACCTCTGCCATCGAACGGATATCCATCTCCGTGATAACCCCTGAACAACGCGCGGAGAATATTATGTGGCGTTCCACGGAACAAAATTACTGACCCGCCGCCGAAATTACCTGTCGTGCGTTTGCAATCTATATGGCAGTAGCCATAATCAACCCCTTCGAGAGCTTGATTAGAACTCGTGTATTATGCTTACTTGCGGCTATGTGGAATTATGTCACGAAATTTTCACGTGATATTACGTCATTGCGTTATTGTCACATCACACGAAATTGTCACATGACATAGTAAAAATAATTCTAAACGTCGGAGTGGCAGAGCTAGTAGAATTTTTAACAATTTTCTGTTGGAGCTCAAACTCTCGAATTTAATTTTTGTCATCGAGTTTTCGCGATACAATTCTGTCACGGAATAATAAAAAAAAAATCAATTTACGTTAAAAAAAAGTACAATTTTAACCCCTGAATATGCTTTTTTTTTGTTCGTATATATGCGCGTAAAAATATTAAACAAATGTCTCTAGTGATTAAATTAATTAAATTTCTATTTCAATTAAACTTACCGATGAAAGTAGACCAAGATATCGGCGCGGTCGCTGTTAACCTCTTGGAAAGTAAGTCTGGAATTCCTGGCCCAGAGATCGAGGGCCTTGCTCAGCTCCAACCGGACCCCGCCTGTGTCAAGACCACTGGGTTGCTCGGATCTCAGACTGTAACAAAAAAAAAGAAGGTTCTCGCGTGAGAAATCGATTAATCGATCCGACCATGCGGAGAACATAAACACGGAATATTTGCGTAGTGTTCACCAAGACGATCCGCCGGCTCCGTTAAACACTAAGTAAACTCCGTTGATCGATTGTGCCCGCTCCGCTCAAGTGTTTGCCAATTACCAATTACTTGCGCACACGCGACCGCTACGTAAGGACGAAGGAAACGTCGCGCTCTCGATATTTTATGACTATTGATATTAAGCAGATTGGTGGCTGAAATAGTCGCATTTAAGATTGACAAAATGTATGATAGGATGCCATTTTAATTATTTTAGCAGCATGACAAATTGCATGTTTTAATTTATATATAATAATAATTTTTATATATCTTAAATTTTACACTAAAGAGAAATTGCGATTTCTGTCTTTTTTCTCGTTCAAGTACGAGCACAACACACATTTATCTTTTATGTTTTATACTGTAAAAAATGCCTGCAGTGAATATTGCATTGCAAACATGAATTGCTAATTACTCTTCCTGTGCCGGGAATAATTAAATCTTAAAAGTAAAATCATCCATCTCAGCTTATTGAATTCACCATTATAATCCTCGCGACCTCATCACAAAACTCCGCAATTACACTTCGGACACAAAAAACTACCGTCTCGCTTTCGGCGAATTTATTATTTGCATTAGGTCGGTAGTAAAACAGTCATAAGTTTCTCGCGGAAGCCGCAAGCACATTCCGTAAAGTTAGTCATACGAAAGATATAAAAAGTTTCAGGACTCGGGAAACGGATCATCTCTCTCCTTCGTCGACGGAATATCCTCCAAATGCGTGGAATAACGCGAGTGTTCACGCGTTCGCGAGTCTCACGAGCCGACCGCTGCAGTGGCATAAATTAATTAATAGTACCTCTCGAAGCTGCCACCGCACCGCCAGTAAAATCCGTATCAAGACTTCGACCTTTGAGGTATCCTGACGTAGCGGAATTAATCATTTCATGCGGCGACGACGACTGCCACCAGATTATTTTTACGCCCTACATGAGGATGTTATCATTGTTTTTTTATTGCAAACATGTTTTTTTCTTTATTTACTCGATATCTGCGAAAAATCGAAGAAAGAAAATTCTAATTTTTGTATCCTATATATATATTCAAACCTCGTTACAAATATTTTATTTTACATACTTATAATAAAGATGTTTTAAGGTTTTATTTACAATACACGATCTTCCTAAAAATTATTTGAGTATATGCTAATCTTTATAAGAAATTTGATACATTTAAATTATATTATTTAAATAGTTGTATTTATCTATGCAATTTTCTTTTTGTATAATTCCGTGCGTATTTATCATAAATACAACATGCCTCTTGCATGAATCAATATCAAATGAAACGATCGCACATTTTGTTCGCCTTTTGATGAAACGATTCGACGAAGCGATTTATGTCAATCCGCGCGATTTACATCGACAGAAAGCCGGTCTTGATGATTTACATTATTAATGTCCACCCAGTGGTAATCTCGGAAATGGAAGCATCGCCAGCATCGATGATGATTGCGTATCGCTACAGCGCATCATCGCTCACGATTATGTGCTTGTTTTACTAAAACGATCAATGTATCGCGCTAATTAGGTAAATCGATTTACTGATCGATACACCGCGGAACTTCCCGACGGACAAATCGACGTTTCCGATGCATCTCGTGCAATTCCGGCGCTTGTATCACTTCCCGCATAGTATTCGACCTCGGGCGAGAATATGTGTGACACAGCCATTGCCAAATGATTTACAAATATACAGGTTTGTTCAGAGTTAATTTGCACGTCTCCAAATGTTCAATTTGCTAATATTGCTAACATGACAATCTAGGTTTTAATTTAAGAAAATATGAAAAGTTTCAAATTTATGCTTCCATTACTTATTGCCATCACCTATAGTTTCGAATTTTCGCAGTATTCAATACTATAAAGTATGAATTTTAATTTAATGTCGATAGATACCCGCACAGTAACAGAACACTTTTACTCGATATAGCAAAATTAATGTCAGACGTTATTTGATACGACATTACTGCGAGTGAGAAATTACTGGAATGTCTTTCACAGACAGACGGAATTAAAAGACGATCAATTTAAATCAATCAATTTAAAGCGCGACAGCGATGCATTCCGTATTTGCAACGCGCAATACATACGTGATGTATAGAAGAGACGCAATGCTGTTGCGAAAGGATATTATTTCTCGATGTAAATTCACTATCGATCGCCTGTTTCGTCCTCGAACGATCGTCTCCCTTCTCTCAGCGGGCGACATATACGCCGTATCATCTTCTTGTAGACTAACGTAGCATATCTTTGTGATATACAAGAATAATAAGAGCTTATGCGAGGAGATGTGAAGGAAGCAAAGCAGAGATAATTGCGTAAAAAGATCAGAATAACAAGAAAACCGCGCTGCGCCGAAATCAATCTTGTGCGACGCATATTTTAAAACAATATTCATAACCCTTTCAACTAAAAATTCAAATAACAAATTCTATAATATTTATTGATTAAATTAAGATTGAAAATTCTATTTCAGAAAATTCTTCCTTGATATCCACAGCTCTGCTAATAATTTAAAAGTAAACGATATATTACCAGTTTAATTAAATTCAACTTATGACGCGTGCAACTCTGTTAGCCGTAAAACTGAAAAAGATTATATCGCGCACCTGACCAATAATATACTAAAAATGTAAAACAAAACCTTTGTTTTTGCGCCGTTTCGTATTTCACGGATAAATGAAGAAAAAGGAATCTGCCGCGTGCACGCGGGCAATTTGGCACCCGTTAGACAGCCGACGGAGATTAATGGGCGAACAGGCATCCGGACAAATAGGTAAATTGATAGTTACGCCTCGCCTCCGATGGGGCTGCGTTCGTTTATGGTTAAAACGAGTGAGTGTATTTTACCCCAGCCGAGAGAGAAAAAAAAAGAGAGAAAGAGAGAGAGGAAGGGGAGGCGGGGGGGGGAGTTTAATTTAAAGCAATCGTTTAGATGTTGATAATGTCTGGATCAATATAAAAAGAAATCAATATTGATAATCATGGTAAAAAAAGAACACTTCTACTCGAAGAATTTATGTGAATTATATCTACGGCAGATAAAATCTTTTGTGTAGCCTGAAAAAGTTTCCAGAACGTGTAGAAGTATAATGAGTCTCGTCAAGATGTAATCAGTTGAAAATAATTGAAGGCCATAAAAGACAAAAAAAGAAAAGAAAAAAGTAGAAAGACAAAGACAAAAGTAAAAAGAAAATAAATGAAAGTGAGAGAGTCGAATTTACGTAGCAATCTTAAATAAAAACTGAATCCCCCTCTCTTTCCGTCTATCTCTTAATTTCTCGAGGGCGTAATGAAATCTTGATGTAAACTATCGTGTTCTGCTTGACAGTTTAGAGATAGTGTATCGATACACCTACAAATTAGCCGCGTATGGTTTCACCTACATACACTCGAGCGTGTTTAATTTCGCGAGTAACTATATCTGCGCCATTAATATTGCGCCTTCAACATCGTCTCGTATTCATTACGCGACCAATCGGTAATGAACATCGCGGAACAAAAACAGTATCGCGATAAATATTGATTGCATCGAAAGTGCAGCGTGATATAGGATTACATGCGTAAACATTTTAAAGCGCGTTTACTTTATGAATGGTTTGCGACCGAAAAGACAATTGCGAGTTTCGACTGAATTATCGTGATGGCATGCGCGTTATCCCCCGCACGGGGATTATCGTGAAAAATTAACCAGATATTTCATCCGCGTAATCGCCGAAATTCCGGGCGTTCAAATGAACACAATTCGTTGAATGCACTTCTGGACGATCCGGCAATTACAATAAATGTATATGCTTTATTTAGCAACGTTCAATAATATTCTATCAAACACATTAAGAAAAATAACCATATAATATAATAGCCAGAAAATATAAATATTTAGATAAATAAATCCTAGATACTTTTCAGCCCCTTTTCGTTCATTTCGGCGCATTCGTCATTCCATTCTATTAATTCTTGATGTTTTGGCGTATAATGTCTTTTGAGAACTTTGCAAAAATGCCAATTTGTACATGGGTACTGTTTAATGGGAGAAGGCAACGCGGTTGGTACATGAGAGAGCGATGTAAATTCTGTGGCGACAATAAGCCAGCCGGAGTAGCGCAAATTTGGTAAACTTCAGCTGTGTAACGACCCCCATGTACAAGCGCCCACTCCTCCCGTGAACCTTTCTCTCCAAAACTTTGATAAACGGACTTTACGACAACTTGTCGTGTTCCTCGCTTCCGCTGTTAATACCTTGCCTTTTGGTAACTTTAATCATGATCGCACGTGATATTCACGCAGTCGCGTAAATTTACCATCGTAATTTCAATTTTCAGAGAAAGATGAGATATAGTTTTGAGAACTAATATCCACACACACACACAACAAGAAAGACATGAAAAATCATACGATAATACATTCATATTTAATGTACTGCAAATATAAAACTTTACTTTCCCGTAATGATTTATTAAAAGTAATAAACATGAAATAAAATCCTTGGTGTTAAAGATATTTCGAGAAATTGTCTCTATATTTTCAAAGTCGCGCTTCGCGGCTCTTCTTTCACGATTGTTAAAAAATATGTAAAAATTCAATTTTCTCCAGATGGAAAGAACAAATTCCGTAAGAATGGGATATTTTTACCTCAACAGTGGACACGAATTTTCAAGCGAAGAATGCGGCCCAGTTCGCTCGTAACCGTCCCAGCTGCGTGCAATTTTCTTTATTCGCAAGTTCGTAAATTTTACCGACGAGTAGCATAACACTCTCACACGTTCCATCGTCGGTACGATTGTAAGTTTAATATGATTTATCCCTAGATAAAAAAGATACGACTTGTAGTAGGCAAATATATTTTGTTACAAATGAATTATTTTTGTAGCTTCAAAATA